TCTGACCCACACAGCCCCTCTGGCATTCCTCCAGACAGAACTGAGGACTCTCCTTATTCTCTCTCCCACTCTCTCTTCCTTCTCTCCATTTGTTCATATCATCTTTAATTGATAAAGACTTTGAAAAACACAACCACAATATATTAACATAAGCAACAAAATCAATAATACTTATATAATATCATCTAATATTCAGTCCATGTTCAATGTCTCCTGGTTATCTCAAAAATGTCTCAGACCTGGTTTGATTAAGTCACAAAGAATATCCATACGCTTCATTTGGTTAATACATCTCTTAAGATTCTTTTAATCCAGAATCACAGGAATATTTTGTCTTCATTGATTCCTTGAATTAATTTTTTAAAGTATTATGTATTCATTAAGTACATAATTCTTGCAAGGCAGTAAAAAGAATTTTTTCCCCAAATAGTGCTAAAAGGTACATAATGAAATATCGCTCAGTTTCACTCCCCAGAAGCAAGGTTACCAGCTTCACACATAACTTTCTAGAAATAGTCTCCATCTACACAAGCATGTCTGTCCCTGAGGCTGATGTAGCCTGGTGGTTAAGAGTGAGGTCATGAATTAAAATCTCCACTCTGCCACTTACTAAGTATATTGTTCTTTGAAGAAGCTGCTTTACTAAGTATAAATCTTGGGCATGTTATATTGCTTCTGACCCACAGTTTTTTCCTCTGGGAAGTGGAAAGGTAGGGACTAATAATAGTACCAATCTATCTTATAGGGTTGCTGAGAGAATTAAATCAGATAAGTAAAGTACTTAAATAATTACTTGTTATTGCATACATTTCCCTTTGGCTTGTGCCTAAATGATAGAATGATGCACATTTCTGATGCGTGGGTCACCAGCCAGCAGTGATCACGGAGCGCTGTGGATGGCTCAACAAAAACACGTGAGAAAAAACATGCAAAGAGACAGACTAGTTTCTGTGGAGAAGTAGGGATTCAATGGCCACCCCCTGTAGTGAGGAGCGCGCCGATTTACTGTCCAAACCTGCTTTTATTGGGCTCATTTTGCATAATAATTCAGGTAAAGTACAGTACTCATTAGGGGGAAGTAAGGAACAATAGATAACAAGGAACTCTGCAGGTCTATTTTGAGTCGGGGTCAAAGAGCTGTAAGACTTTGAGGAACAAACTAACTTCCTCCTTGGACCCCTCTCATTCAATTGAGAGCATTCTAAACAAAGCAGGCTTCAAAGTAATTTACATATTCTTTCTTAGGCCTGATCACCCGGGGAATCCGCCCTTTTCAGCACAGAGCTGCACCACCCTGTCATTGTTTCAGGCTTAGGTGGAGCAAGGGAACTAAGGCAACCAAGAGATAAGGAGATTTTCTCCCAGACAAGAGAACTCAGGCTATGTCAAAGCTGAGGAGTGAGGGTCCATCACCCCCTTTTGCTGCAGCTCCCAAAGTCCTTCTTTTGGGGGGCCTCCCATGTGATCGTGCCTGTCTTAGATCATTCCCCCCTTGGGGAATCTTACCCATCATTGGCTAACTGACCAAGCTTTGGGGTTCAGTTATGAATGAAGCAGTGCTCCTGCCAGGGAGATAAGCTTTTGTCTCCTTGCTGGCTTACAGTTCCAAGGGCGTTCCCTTAGCCTTAGCCTAGGCGGGGGTTTCAGCTTCTGATACCAGTCAGGGTGGTTCCCAACACATTTCTATTTATTTGTTTGTTTGTTTTTATCTGACATCACATTTAGATGAGAATTCCATACCTTTTCTTATAAGATTCATTTCATTGTTTGTAATCATTGACTTATATTCCATTGTATGGATGCCATACTGATAGACATTATTTCCAATCTTTTGTTTTTACCAAAAAGAAAGCACTACAATGAATATGTTTGCAATATTTTATTGGATTAATGTGCAAAATATCCATAAAGTCAACTTGTGGAAATAAAATTATTTAGCTTAAAAATATGTGCATGTCAATGCTTTATAGGTATTGCCCAAGAAAAATGCACAAGGGCCCCCATTTCTCAGTACCCCAGTTAACTAGAACATTGCTAAAAATGTTGATCTTTGCAAATATGATTTGTGAAAAATGGTATCTCATAGATTTATAATGTACACTTATTTCTCTTATTGTGAGAAGGTAAAAAAAAAAATAGTGCAACTAAACCTCAGCAGTCAAATGACCCACCCATGACAGCTGAGCAGGGGCCCTGAGAGAACCCCACCTGGGTACTAACACTCTTGTCCATGCTCATAAAGTGGGTACCCCTGTCTGACAGCACTCAGCACACTTTATGCATGGACACAGGGAGTTAGTTCCATCTAGCAGTGGTGAAGGGCTCATTCTGAACCAGCGCAACCCCCTCACCTGGTCCCTTTCTGACACGCCTTCCAGAGCAGCACACTGTGGCTACTGGACACGCATCCCCACAGCTGACTCCTTCCTCTTTCCTGGAACATTTTCTTCCCTTGGCCTCCCTTCTGTCCCACTCATGGATTTACTCCTAACAAGCTCTCTTTCTTATCTCCTTGGCTGACTTCTTTCTTCTGTGTGGGAAAACATGGAGGAGCCCCAGGGCTCCTTCCCAACCTTTCTTTCCTCTAACTATACAGCTTCTCCATGGGTGATAACCTTCTCATAGCTTTAAGTACTGGTTCCAGGACTAGGGTGAGGCCATTGAGGCAGCTAGGACACACAATTTAGGGAGACCTTCTGTCTCGGTCTCTGCAGGCACAGGGTTGGCCCCAGACAGTGATCATCTCCTTGAGTTTGATACCCTAGTCCCACCCTGTTACACACCCCGGCCTTCTCCCTGCAGCTCCAACACATAAATCCTATTTGACATCTCTATTTGAAGGTTTTAAATGCAACTCAAACTTAAAACATCTAAAACAGAACTCTTGCATCATTTCTCATTCCCATGGCCACACCTGCTCCTTCTATTTCTGCTTGGGTTAATAGCATCGCCATTTATTCAGTTGCTCAGGTCAAAATTCTAGTTACCCTTGATTCTGCTCTTTTAGCAAGTCCTGTCTTCTATCTCCAAAATATATCCCAAATCTGACAACCTCTCACCACCTCGAATCCTACTCCCTCAGGCCAAGTCCTGTCCCTGGCTGGTGTGTCTGGCTGTCCCTCAGGTCTCTCCCATCGCCTTTTGCTCACTTCTCAGCAGCCAGAGTGGTATTTTTACATTATCAAGGAGATGGTGACACTCTCCTACTGAAAACCTTCCAGTGGCTTCCAAATGAATTTAGAATTAAAAGCAGACTCACTTCCATGGCCAATAGACCAGCATCTAGCGGGGACGGCCACCTGAGCTCAGAGAGCAATCTCACTTCCACCTCCCCCCATTCACTGGGCTCACTGCTCATTGCTGCCCCAGCTGTGCTCCTCTTCCCTGGAATGCTCCTCCCAGATCTTTACACAGCCACTTCCTTTCAACATTCAGGTATCAGCTCAGGTGTTACTTTCCTGACCAGCCCATCACTCATCCAATCACTCCCAACCGCATCACCCTGCTTTATTTCTCCATAGCATCATCACCATCAGAAAGTTCTTACTGTTATCACTCACATAATATTCCCCCATAGCTCAGGGGCTTAAAACAAAGGTTTATTAGTTCAGCTGGACAGTTCTCTTGTGTGGCTGCAGTTAAATAGCTGCTGAGGTTGACGTCCTTTGGAGACTTTGCTCTTTTAGCAAGTCCTGTCTTCTATCTCCAAAATATATCCCAAATCTGACAACCTCTCACCACCTCGAATCCTACTCACTCAGGCCAAGTCCTGCCCCTGGGCTGGACATCCAGCACTCTTCCCTCCCATGCCTGGCACCCCTCCAGGTGGCCCCTCTCTCCAGCACAGTAGCCTAGCCCTCCTGAGTGGCAGCTCAAGCCTCCAAAAGCAAAGATGTGGGAGCTGCTGGTCCTCTCGTAGGCTAGGCCTGTTAACTGGCACAGTGTACTCTGCTGCCATATTCCAGTGGTCAGACAGTCATAGGCCAGCCCATGTTCAAGGAATTGAGGAATAAATTCTACCTCTTAAAGGGGAAATTACGTTTGTGTAAAAGAAAGGAATTTATGGTGGCCATCTTTGGCAATAAGTTTTCACATTTGTTTGTTTACTTGTTAATTGTCTCTCTACTCACATTAAGTTATAAGCTCCACAGACAGCAGGGACTTTATCTATCTTGTTTGATGGTTCTATTTCCAACATCTAGAAGGATGCCTGGCACATAGTATGTGCTCAGTAAATAAATTAAACACTTGGTAAATGTTTAGGAAACTAAAATGGACTGAAATAAATTTGTCCAGACTGGCTGGGCAGGTTTGCTCATGTTAAGCATGCTCAAAGATCACCAGATAAGAGAAACCCTACATTTATAAAGCATTTTATTTCCTTTGCAAACAAGAAAAACTTACCCTGAACACAAAATCTAGGAATAGACTTGGCATGTTTTCCAAATGGAAAATATTTCTTGTGTCACCAGAAATTATTTTCCCACAGCTTGTGCTACATCAGAATATTGAAGTTGACTGCAAATATCCTATTTTTTAAAGTTGGTATGGGCTAGAAACAATTTTTTGTAGCAAAGACTATATAAAAACCTCCTGCTATTTAAACCCACCCAAAAATCCTCAAACTGAAAATGTCATTATAGGTAAGATAGAGTAAAAAAAAGAAAAAGACTGAGAAATGTGATTAAAATTTTGGTCATCAAATTGATGTACAGTTTTTATTTATAAAGCCATCACTTGTTTATTTAAGTAATTGCATATAACCAAAGCAAGAAAAAAACCCCTCAAATTTCTCCTTTGCTACATTTTACTGGTGAGTTCTATAAAATAATCTCATGTTTGAATCTTATTATAATTCCCTTGTAAGTAGTAAGTGAGGAGGTACTCATGTGAAGGATTTTAGTGATTTGTAAAATTAAAAATATAGGGATTTAATTTTTAAAATTCCTCTTGCAGACAGCAGCTAATTAAATGTCTTCTAATCTTTGTTTCATCTTCAGTTTTCCCAGATCTGCTCAAAGCAATCCCTGTGAGCATCCACGTCAACGTCATCCTCTTCTCCCTGATTCTGGTCCTCCTGACCATGGTAGGCACAGCCTTCTTCATGTACAATGCTTTCGGCAAGCCTTTTGAGTCTCTGCATGGTCCACTGGGGTTGTACCTTCTGAGCTTCATTTCAGGTAAGAATGAGATTCTACCCCTGAAGGCAAATGTGTTTTTCAACGTCAAATACAGGTGTACTCAAATAATAGAGAGTTACAGTATATATACATGAATGTTCACAGTAGCATTATATATGATAGCAAAAAGTAGAGAAAAATATAATTATCCAACAGTAGAGATTTCAATAAATATGTTATGGTGTTTTTATAAATAAGTATGATGGTGACATTAAATTATATTTTTGAAGAAGAGGTGATGAAAAGGATAAACACTTGTATCAAAAGTTAAGTAAAAAAAGCAATATAAAAATTTTATAGACATGGAACTAATTTGATTTGTATCTGTAGAGAGAATATATATAAATTATATTGCACATATACTCTATGTAGCCTCCATATATATTACATAAATACATATATAGATAAATATATAGAGAGACAGAGACAATTCTGTTGGCAGTAGTTACCTCTGAGTAGAGCAATTATGGGTGATTTTGATTTTTTCTCATACTTTTTAATATTCACAAATGCACTTATTTATACATAATCAGAAAAATAAATCAAAATCATCAACAAAAGCAAGGGACCAGTGTTCCGCCCACGTGTGAGTTGCCACATTCAGGCTTGTAGGCTCTTGGTGCAGTCCAGTGGTGGGTGCAGCTGGGCAAGGATACATTCTGAACCCAGAAACTGATTCATCAATAAACACGTGCCACTCATAAGCCAGGGTGATGAAAGGAATATAAAAGCTAGTCAAGGCCACAGGGTGCTTAGGATATATTTACAAGAAGGAAAAAAATTAGAAATAAAATATGTCTCTGATTTCATCCTACTCCAAAGTTGTAAAAAAAACAATACTTCATCATATTGCCAGGAAGCAAGTAGCTTTATTAATAATTTCTTGGAGAGGTGTGAGAGAGATATCGCATGCCAGCAAAGAGTGGATGGAAAGTCCCCATCCCCTCTGTTTCATTCTCCTCTGAAGTTGTCCTTTGACTGTCACCAGGCTCCAGTCCCCTTCTCTCTCTTCATCACTCCCTTCCCTCTGCATAATTCAAGTCCAGCCACAGACTGCATAGCTCCCTCTCCATGAAACAAAGCCTGGTCGTTAGCAGGCATTCGAGCCTCTGGCCATTACTGCTTGAGCTCACTTCTTCTGGTCTTATCTCATCATCATCTTAATAATCAAATGATACAGCCTACCAAAGTAGTTCTCTCTCCAGTGGGGGTTCTACTAGTATTTTTTCCAGATCTTTTACAAGCAAATAATACCATTTTCAAACTGTGCAGCAATGATTAACCCTATGAGGGCAGAGTCTAACTCCTTCTCGTCTTTGTGTCTTTAACAAAAGCATCCAGCATGAGGCTCTGCACACAGTAAATGATCAGTATGTATTGTGGACTTGAAAAAGCAGGCCCAAAAGGTGTTGACTTGGTCACTTAGTATAGGTTAGAGAAGTCGGAAATCAAATGGTTTGGAATTAGCAGAACAGGCCCTTAGAGGTGGTGGGACATGGGCCAGAGAGGGAGGGGCTGGAAGATCTTACAGGGAAGCTCACCAAGGGAAGCCAAGGGCTGTGCGATGAGGGCAGGAGAGCAGAGCGCAGGTGCACAGTGTGGATGGACAGGCCTAGATAGTGATTCAGTCTCATGGTCCAGGTCAGAAGTGGGTGTTGGCACTACTTCCTTCCACCGAACATACCAAACCAAGCTGGATGGTATGCTATTTTAGTGAAGGTCATTGAATCAACTAAGTCAGGGCATATAAAGTTAGAGTGGTTCTTAAAATGGGGTCCCCAGACCAGCAGACCTGTACCCCTGAGAACTTCACAGAAAAGCAAATTCTCATGCCCAATCCCTGACCTAGTGAACCAGAAACTCTGAGGCCAGGGCCTGGCAGTCTGTGCTTTAAGAAGCCCTCCAGGTGATTCTGATGCAAGCTCAAATCTGAGAACCAGGGTAAATGGGAATTGATTAAACAGGTGTTAGAAAACAACAACAAAAAAAAATGAAAAAGAGACACTGAGGTAACTCAGAAACCATAGTTCAGAAAGCAGCTACAGTCCTTATGGCCCAGAGAACCAAGGAGAGAGTCTGGAGTTTGCAGAACCCAGAAGCTTAAGGAAAGACCTAGGGCACTGGGTCTCAGACCATTGAAGAGAACGCACTGTCACAGGACTCCACGAGGTGGCTGTGGGAGTGTGGGGAGGTCTGGGGAACCTCACCTGAGTGCCAGGAGAGGTGCTATTCCTGCAGCAAAGAGGAAGGAGCAGACCCTCCTCTCCTGCCCCCAACACTGCTCTCCATTAGCACAGCCTCATGGGGAGCAGCTGCTGAGGCAGAGCTGGAGTCTGGGGAGTCTTGACCCAGCATCACAAAGCAGAGAAAAGAAGAGCTGGTCTGAAGCCAAGACACAAGAGCTTATTAAGTGGCATAGCCATCTCATGCTAGCTTCTGAATAAAATTCAGAGCAACAGCCCATTTGGAAGACAAATTATTTGACAGTTCTAACAGACAACAAAACTAACAGTATGTGAAAAGCGAGATGACTCAGAGAATGCAGAATTTAATCCAAGTCCCAGATCTTATCTTGGCCTTTGGCCAAGTCTAATGCAAAGAAAATGTGAGCACAGAATATATGTAGGAACACACAGACCCTGAGCTTATGCTATATCTTACCTTTGGACTAATTGCAAAAGCAGGTGTTCAATAAAGTTTTGTAGATGAGGGAAGGAAGACAGCGAGAGAAAGGAAAAGAAGGAGCCTGTTCCTATCTGTGTCTTGCAGAGGATAAAGGCCTAGTGTTTCTAGATCATCTGTTTTGTTTTGGGGGTTTTTTTAGACCCCAAATCCTTACTTTTAAATACCAAAATTTTCAATAACTTTTAAAAACATGTTCGAGGGTCACATGGACTCACAGTTTGTGATGTTTGGGGAAGAACAGTCACTTGAATCACGGACTTCCTCACTCCCCTTCAATCTCCAGATGGTACCCAGAAGCCCCTGGAGGTTTGGGAAAGTCTATCTAAAGCTGTAATATTCATGGAGACCCCAGCTCTAAGTCCTGATGTGGAAAGGTGGGGATTTTACAGCCTTTATCTCAAACCCTCCAAATGTGAACCAATAAATTTCATACTCAGAGGCTAGGGCCTCTATTAGGAGGTCCTTTAGTTCCAGTGGGAGTCATTCCATTAGACACCCCCCAGGGGGCAGCTCCTTTCCATCTTCTGCCCAGGTGGCCTCCCTCACAGTCAACAGAGAAAAACATCTTCCTCCTTGGTCTCCTTTCCCTTCTCCCACTTCCCCTGTGGATTCTCCCTTTCCTAGTGCTGATATCATTGCAGGCCATTTCTCCAGCTGTCTCTTCCTGAGGCAGGAAGGCAGGGAGAAGGGAAGGGGAGAGAGGTCCTGCCATCTAGCCAGGACCTTCCACACTGCCCAGAGTAACAATGTTGTGAGTGCTTCCTCACATGTCCTCATGTGGTGCATGCCAGGCCCTGGACACAGAAAAGAAAGGGAGCAACACCTTATATCAGGCCCCCAATGGTTTCAGTCCCCACAGCTTGCTCACACTATCACCCTCCTAGATCAGGAGTGCCTTCCACTTCTCATGGCCTCCAGTTTGGCTCATGGTATTCCTCAGCTTTCTTCGTGTAACATTTCTGACCTCTCCCACTGTTCCATGGAACCCATGCAAGTCAGTTCTGCTCTCTTATCCTGTCAATTATAAACTGAGTCTGAGAAATCATTCTGCTAGTTAGGATTTTAGTAACATCTTAATGGTCCCCCACAGTTCATTTTGGACAATGATTCTGTTCTTGGACTGTACATTAGAGTCACCTGAAGAGCTTTCAAAAATACTGATGCCAAGTCCCATGCCACACTACTTTAATTGGAATCTTTAGAGGTGGAAGCTGGGCATTGGTATTTTTTTAAGCTCTCTTAGTAATTCCAATGTGTGATGAGTGTTGGGAACCACTGGTACAGGTGCATACATTTCATTCATCCTGCAAACTCTGGATGAGTGCTCACTGAATGCCATTATAATAGGAACTGTGATACCACAGTGAACGAAGCACACAGTCTTGCCTTTGTTGAGACTACAATGTGTGGGAGAGTCAAACAAAGTGTATGCAAATAATTAAAGATCACAATAATTACAATCAGGATAATAAACAGGCTGCTATGATAGAAAATGGAGGGGGAAAGGAGAAGGGCTTTGATGTGGCAGTCAGTGAAGGATATTCTAAATAGCTGAGTTCTAAAGGCACAGAGGAGCTGAGGACTATCAGAGAACTTCCCAGGGAGAGAAGAAGACATGGGGAACTCTAGGGAAAGAGGTTGCCTTGCTTAGGAGCTGAAAGAAGGCCAGTGTGGCCAGGGAGTAGGCAGGGATGGGACACTGGAAAAGAAATTAGATTGGCGAGGTCATTTGATACCAGTTAAGGTCAGATCTCTAAAACCATGGTAAGTCTTTTGGAAGTGCTTCTAACTGCAATGAGAAGCTTGTGAAAGACTTTAAGAAAATATCACATAACTGACTTACCTTCTAAGAAACATCTGGGGAAAGACTAGGCTATTGCATTGGAGATGGAGAAGGATGAATAGATTCTAAAAACATTTCTAAAGTAGATCCAAGGTATTTTGCAGGTAGCTTAAGCAATTAGTATACAGTGGTGACATTAACCAGGATACATAAGATAGGACAGGAACAGGCTTAGAGTTTGGGGCAATGAAGAAGTGCAGAGAGGAGCTCAGCACTAGAAATCAGGTGCTGTATTGCGAACATGTCAATTTTGAGATCCTGTGAGGTGTTCAAGTGGACATGTCAAGTAGACAGTCGGATATATGAGTCTGGAGCTCAGAGAAGAGATTTAGATTAAAAATGTAAATTTAGGAGTTGTCAGGGTATAGATATTATTTAAAGCAATGACAATAGATGAGATCATCTAGGGAGAGAATGTAGTTAGAAGAATATTGGCCCAGCACCAATCCCGGAAGAACACCATTAGTTAGTC